TGTGTGTGTGTGTGTAACACCAGGGCGTCGTAACATGCCGGGGCATTCATAAGGCATTTTTCTGTCGGAATAGTATCCACATTTGGTATTTTCATACTACATATTCGACCCGGAATGTCGCACAAAACGACACTGATTATGAGCCCCTTTTATGTACAGGGATTGTAATGAGGTAGTTCATAAGCGCGATGAATGGTTCATCCGTGGCTCGATAATCCATTGAAATATGAATGATAGTGAACTTTTACGGATACATGTATTACAAATTGTGAAAATGCTCTTACTTTTGGGGCACTTAGTTCGTACGTAGTTCGTGCGTTGCATATTTGAAGCACTTGTGTTTTTGATGCTATAATCGGCTATCACAGAGTTTGTTTTATATGGTCTATGGCATAAGATGGACGTTTCGGATCTGACTTCAGGTATCCTGTTGACGCTGCTGGTGATCGCGCTGTTCCTGCGTCACGACGACACGCCGATCGTGAAGGCGTCGGGTCGCGAGCTGAGCTACATGCTGCTGGCCGGCATCCTCATCTGCTACCTCAACACCTTCCTGCTGCTGACAAAGCCGAGTCCGGCCGCCTGCGCCCTGCAGCGGGTCGGCATCGGCCTCGGCTTCTCCTTCATCTACGGCGCCCTCTTCACCAAGACCAACCGCATCTCGCGCATCTTCTACTCGGCGTCGCGGTCGGCCAAGCGGCCGAGCTGCATCAGCCCCAAGTCGCAGATAGTGATCGCCACGCTGCTCATCTGTGTGCAGCTGTTTGGCACGGTGGCCTGGCTGATTGTGGAGCCTCCCGGCGTGCGATTCTACTATCCCGACCGCAGCGAGGTCATACTGAAGTGCAGAATCAAGGACTCGTCCTTCCTCGTCTCGCTCGTCTACAACATGGTGCTCATCGTGGTGTGCACGGTGTACGCCGTGAAGGCGCGGAAGGTGCCCGAGAACTTCAACGAGACCAAGTTTATCGCCTTCACCATGTACACCACCTGCATCATCTGGCTGGCGTTCGTGCCCATCTACTTCGGCACAGGCAACTCGTTCGAGGTGAGTCCATCACCGGCTGATCGATCGGGCGATATTTCCAGCGGCTTTCGACACTTGGTTCGATGCGGGAATTCGGAGTGACCTCGATGAAATGTACGGGCGATAGAAAATAGTCGGGAAGATAAACAAAAACGGACATGGTAGTAGAACAGTTTGCGGAGTTAATAACCGGTTTTGGGGAAGAAGTGTTTCATGCACCCTTCTGCTTTAGCTGTGTTGTTTCTGTTAGCAACGATCACAATTTATAACAACTTAGACATCAATATTGACTTATTCATACCGCATGCAGCGGTGTAAAATACCAAGATGGCTGAACAATGCTAGATCAACGTTTTGAGATGAATTGCCAACTAAAGAAATGTTAAGCTGCAGGTACTCATTAACCCATTGATTGAGGCTGAGCTGACTAACCAATATTTTACACGTATCCGTCGTTGTTCATGAAGTGATGCCAAGGCTCGCTGTACTAGGAATGTCCACCTGTGGGCAGTTATGTGAATAGTATTGCAGCTCCTTACAGCGTGACTAATAGCAAGATTAAGTTATGGTGCTGTAACAGTACGGTGTCATCATAAATCATTCATAGTGTCGTAATTCCGTTTTGGTGCAGAAAACCTGCAGCCATAGAAAATACCGTCACCTCGTAAAGATGGCAGCTCATCTGGCTGCACTGGATGTGTGCTATGTTCAGTACTCAGAAAACCAGCCAATTTACAGCCATTACGCACATGTCGAACTATATCAATCTGAGCGCCAGCTCGGCGTTATAATCATGCACAAACACTATACGTGCGGGCCGTGGAGAGCGAGTAGCTGGTCATTTCTCACGAATCACGTTGCCTCGTCTTTCTCCCCTCGCTCAATTGAGCATTGCGTGTTGTTAGGCTGGCGGTGGGAAAAATGTGATCCTTTCCTGGCTTACGGCCAGCGTGTGGAAGTTCCTGTGCGAGTGCCACGGAATAGCGCCGGGTGGCTTTTCCGTATTTCCTTTTTAGTTGTATTTTATCAGCATGTGCGGTTAGTAGATACACTGACTGCGCCCGGTAACTCGCTAACAGTCGCTATTATATTTGGGCTGTGTATCCGACAAATACGGGCTGGCAGCCTACAGCGCCTGTCGGATAGCTGAGAGCTGAGTCGCCCTATGTGGATAGCAGCTTGGGCAGTCCAGACGCGCGTCCACTGTAGCATTACAGTCCTTGTAAAATGTGAGGCAGGAGCACCGTGTTCGTGTTAGCCCGCCGATGCTTCTGACAACCTCCGCTAGCACCGCTGCATGCATGCGATCCCCTCTTACACACGGACACGAATCGCCTGATGACGCTGCGATACGCGTGCTCATGGACGGGCGCGGCTCAGGCCGGCGGAGCGCGGCACAGCAGCGCCAGAGCCAGCCCTCCCGTCGCTCGCAGCTGTCTTCCTTCGGAGGCGGAATCTGTCGCGGCAGAGCTGCAAAGCGGCTTGCTCCGCCTGGAGCTGTGTTGAATAGACGGGCTACCGCCGCCCGCGAGGGTGCGCTTTGTCAATAGCGGCACCAGCGACGCCCGGGCGCATTCGCGTGACAGTTTTGGTGGACGTGCGCGCAAGCTCGCTGCGCACGCCTGTGGGGACCCGCCTCTCGCCATCGCTGTGAGCGCCCGCCTCCACAGAAGTGATGCCTGGGGGCTTCTCTACTAGTTACCAATAACGGCTCACTGCAAAGAAGCCTTAGGATGATATACGTGCAACGTTGCTTTATGTTTCTGTTTTAATTGACACGGATAACGTTCACACCTGTACCCGCACTAACTAGAAGTCATTACTAGGGTGTTAAAACCACACGCTCTTGCGTAAAAACATTACCGCCGCCACCAGGTCATACTGCAGTGAGGAAGATTCCCGTGGTACGGGTTAGCACCAGCGGCCAGCCACCTCCGACCATCGTCGCCTTCTGGCTGCTTCTGTAGCAAACCTGCGCTCCACTGGAGCCGACGTGGCTGCCACGGATTGGTAGGCTGGGCCGGGCAATCGGTGACAATCGGTAATTTATTGGTGGACAATCGACACGATGGAGTCTGACTCGAAAGACCAGGTCGTGATCGATAGCTTTGCTCGGTGCCCTACCTCCAACGCTGTTAAATGCCATCCTATTTAAAGTGAGTATGTCAACTGTTAACTTAGATCAGACGCGGCCGATTTTGTTGTTAATACCAGTTTTCTCGAAATCCTCCCCAATAGCCCAGAGTGTTGATTTAAGATAGCCGCTCCGACCGGAGAAATGTCGATGGACTACTCCCTGCACACCACGATGAAAGTAAATTTTTCATTCGCTTTGACTTTCCCATCATGTGCGTCATGCATGCAATGTTTGCAATTAACTGATGGTCAAGCTTTACATGCAGCAATTGGTATGAAAGGACAAAGAAGCCTTTTAAAGGAAACGTATCGACATATGACGTCATTATTACGCGAATGCAACGAAACCCCATTCTAGGGCTTTGCTTTCTCGCATGTGGGCATTTAGCGCAGCGCTTTTTTCCAACGGCTTTTTGTCTTTGGAAAACGTCGTTTACTTGGGGGTTCAGTTCGTCGCAAACCGTGTTTACAAAGCAGGTACACATCAGGGACATATCCTGAGGTCAAGTGACTATCAGGGACATATCCTGAGGTCAAGTGACTATCAGGGACTATCCTGAGGTCAAGTGACTCACTGGCTCAAATTTGCATCAATGCCCTCGCTAAATGGCTAATGCGGCCGCTGTGCCAATCGCAAACGTGCATTTTGGCTGACGTCGGTGATACCCATAAATGGCGGATCACATTCTGACCACCACACTTCAGGTGTACTAAGGGGGTGATTGTGTTCACAAGTAGCTTTTTCTCTTCACCATGCCATGTGCACGCCAATTTTGAGCAATATCGACGTGATTCCGTAGCGTACATTCGCGGGTGTTACAATG